GAATTATTCTAGAATGGGTAACATTTCAAGGGTAAATGCTAGTGAAAATCGGACAAGGGGTAGTGATGATCTTGGGCAAAATTAAGTGTAACAGTACATACAAATACAAAATAAGAATTAGATATATAGCAATTAATAAAGAAACCAACGAAAAAATAGAATTCTCAGCAAAAGTATAAGACTTCTCATCATCCACCAGGGCAGAACTGATAGCGATCCTCAGCATACTCAAATGTGCATCAATCAAGATAGAAATCAACATATACACAGATAGCAAGGCAGTAATACAAAACATAACAGAAGAAAAAAAAAGGAAACAAAGTCACAACATATACACCCAACTGGATAACAATTATGCATATCAAAAGAGTCATCAAAGATAAAACAGGAACAACAAATCTAATCAAGGTAAAAGCACACACAGGAATTATAGGAAATGAAAGAACAGACGAACTGGTCAAAGAAGGAGCACAGAACGGCAAAGAACAAGAAATCAAAATAAGCCAACCAACAGAAGACACATATTTCAGCATTGTCTAGAAAGATATGATCCTAGACACAGATATCAACAGTTTTATCAAAAGATAACAAAGTGCACAATGGTTAGCAAGATGGTTAATCCAAAACTGACATATGGCATAGATAGATGGCAGGAAAAAAAAAATAGACTGGAAAGTAATACATGAGACACAGCAACCGACAACAATCATAAGCAACAAAACAAACAAGACTATACAAGAAGAAACTTCTGCTATAGAATGCTCAACGAAGAATTTCCAACTCTGAACAAACTAGCAGAGTAAAGACCAGACATATACAAAACAGCAACATGTCTAAGCTGCAAAGGTAAAGTAGAAACACACCAATACATAATATATGAACATTGAAAAGAAAACATTACCAACAAATACAACAAAATCATAAAACAGAAAAATAGTGCCAGGGCAAAAAAAGAGAAACATAAAGAGAAATACTATCAATACCACAAAATCATAGACTCAGAACATACAAGAACACTAATAACAAAAGCAGTATTCACAAAAGAAACAATCAAATACATTAGAAACAAGAAAGGCAAAAGAGTTATGGAGACATGTAAAGCAATCACGAACCAAATAGACAAGAAACTAAAGAAATAATGGAAAGACAGATGCGAAATAATAGCAAAATGAAAAAAAGAAATTGGCATCATTGCGCAAAAGAAGAAGAAAAAGAAAACAAAAAAAAAGGAAAGTCCAACAGAAGGAAAGAGGACTAGCAGCCAAAACCTGAAAGAAAAGAAGCTGTAGCAACAAAATGGACAGAAAAGATAACAAAATGGTATACAAACTACAAGTGGAATGCAGAATACAACAATTATATATACATACTATTTACTAACTCTAATGGAGCCTTGATACATTAGTTTTTGATCTTATTTTCTACTGTATAATAGTAAGAATAAATCAAATAGCTCAAAGCCAATATTTGATATTTTCGATATAATCTGACATATAAATAGAAGTAAAGTTATAACATTAATGTATACAAATCTGTAAATAACTAATGTAAATGTCACAAACTAATAAAGTATACTAGGCAAGGCCTAGCTAATGTTTTTAAAAAAAAAAAAAGTAAAAAAATAAACAATAAAAATTTGTTATTAAGATTTAAAACAATTTCTTTAGAATTACAAATATATTATTTATTATAAGTGTAATAATTTTATTGATAATATTGAATTTTTTTAAAATTCTTATTTTTTTGTAATATTTATTTTCAAGTAATTAAGTTTAAAAGGAATAATATTAAAAAAGAAATCATAAAACACAATTAGTAACTATATAGTAAGCAGTAAGTTTTTAAAAAGCTTTTCTATTTATAGTCAAAGTTTATATATCTGTTGTGAATAAATATTTTTTTGCAATTAGATAGAATTCATTAATAATTTTAGTTTATTGATTTATAAATTTATTAATTATTAAGACCTGTGGGTCTGTAGTGTAGTGGTTAACACTCCACAGGTCAAATTACAAGATACCAGTTCAACCCTATGTGAGGGCGGTTGAATAGAATTAATATGGTATCTGGCACCATAACCTGTAAAAAGCACCATTTCTCATAGAAAAAGTCATATTACACGCTGATCCAGCGGGCTTTGAGATTGTGATTTCCAAAAAAGGCGTCGTGGCGCGACGATCATCCGGTTGGTGTTACGATGATCACCGGAAGTTGTAAGGAGTATGAGGTGTCCGCTTTCGGTAAAGATGGCTTGGTGATCGTTTTTCCATGGTACCTGGTGTCTCTTTCTACAAAGATAGCCAGAAAGGTCCTATTCCAATCCAGTAATAAATTACTCTGATGGTTACTTATCCTGAGAAGGTGGCCCAGCAGTAAGACCGCTAGGTAACCTTGATGATACCTAAATGGGTGATAAGATCTGGTAACATAAGTTCCTTGGACGTTCTTGGGTAGCTTGAGGGGGGTGGAAATTAAATGGAAATCGGTGTGTCCAGCTGCAGGTGGTTGGATCTGGAAGGTTAACTAGGTAGTGTTCTATTTGCCAAATATAGGTACTATCCCCAGTGCCCCAAAAATTCAAATTCCCCTTAATTTCGCACAGTGTCAAATAGAACATCTAGTTTAAATCAATAGGATGTATTGCGGTAATCTTGAGACGGCAATACATTAAGGTAGGCTGCACCCGGATGGTATACCTGTGGGTGAATTCTAATTGTGATAGTTGTAAGTGTAGACAGAAATGTACTATGTATGTTGTTTACAGCACTTCTAATAAATTAGAGTAAAGCTTACTCGCAATACAAAAAAAAAAAAAAAAAAAATTATTAATTATTAATTTTATAATATCAATTAATAAAATTTATAAATTAAATTTAAATATAAATAATAATTTTTAATATAAGCTAAATTTAATTTATACCAATATTTAACTTACGAATAAAATAGTATAAATACTCTAATACAGTAAATAGTTAGTGATTGTAAATTAATAACTAAATAAGATATATTTCATATTTATTTTGCTTATACTTATTAAAAGAATTTATTTTTTAAAAAATAAGATTTTTTTTTGCTTTTTTATAGATACTTTTAAATGATATTTTTCTTAAGAAAGTAATACTTGTTATTAATTTGTATTTATTAGAACATTCTTTACAAACATTGTAATTTGATACATTAGATGGATTTTTTTTAATGCTTTCATATCAAACTTTTGATTGAACTCTTAGAGGTAACAGTTTCTAATTCAATTAATTTTGAATCTATATAACAAAAAGACTAATTGCTTTTATTATATAAATTTTTATTATTATATTTAAAAAAAACATTAAAAAAGTTATTATCCTTATAAAAAATTTTATTGTCAAACATGTTTTTTATTGGAATGAAAAGAAATGAAAAGAAACAAGTTTTATACAAGCTGAGTTTGGTTTATGTTATCTATAAAATATTTGTGTGATATTTAATTTTATTGAATAAATGATCAGTTTTATTTGGTTTAATGCTTCAAATTTTGGAACCAAGAGTCGATAGAATGGCATTCTAGAATCAAATTTAAGCCATTCATTTGTGGAATGTCCCATTCCTAATTGCAACAGGCAACAAAAAAACCTGTTATTAAATGGTAGTGCATTATTATTTAATGATAGAGAAGGAGAAAATAATTGCAAAAAAGAATTATGTAATATAATCTTTATTATTAACTATATTAGTATATCTATTTTTAATAATACAAATTACTAAAATATAAAAAAGAAGAAAACGTGATGTTAATAAAGAACAGTTTTTGAATGAATCGATCAATAAAAATAATTATTTTTATCCTCGATCAAATCAACCTGCCTTACACTTTTTAGAACACCTTCCATAATTCACAGTTTGTGAATTCTGTTAATTTGTAGCAACAGGTTCACAGACAACTGTTACAATAAACAGACATAAGCCATTTATAAACCACTTTTACATGATACCATCTACTTGATATAATATTATATCGAAGGTTTACATGCAATATACTAGTATTAACTTAAATAAATAATTTCATATGAAAGATTTTATAAATTTTAATAGTTGCAAAAAAAATTCAATAATTGATATTTTTGTTTTTGATAAAAATACTATTTTTTTTTTTGAAATTATTACCTTTATTACAATTAGCAATTCAAAGATTGTTAACGTAATGACAATGATACTATGCTAAAATAAACGCTTTTAGTTTAATGCCCATTTGCGATTAAGAAACTATAATTCTATACCTGATTATTTATTAATATTGATTTGCTTATTTTATTAAATCAGAAATTTCGTAATTATATAACTCGACATTCTAAATACAGCACATTGATAATAAATTCTTTAATTGAATTTTGACCAATGTTTGCAGTATCAAAATAGAGAATAACGTGTATAACTTTTAACTTTAAGAGTAAATGCAGCAACACAATTTTTGTTTTATATGGTATGGATATCTCCACAACAAATAAATTATCGAAATTATCAAAATTAAAACAAAAAAACTTGGAATAACGACTCCTAATATAATTGGTATTTTGTTGCTGTTGTTGTCTTGTATGGGTTTGCTAGGAATGGTATTGTTGACCGGATATTGTGAGACCCAAGTAAAGCTGGTGATATCCAAAATATAAACCTTGTTGGTTGTATCATTTGGAGGACCGTTAAAGTTTGTAATGTTTCCTAAAGAGAAAAAAATTTAGCAAGAACATGGAATTTAAAAAAAAAGTCTAAATCGCATACCAAATGCTAAAATCATGCAATTATTATAGAGATGAGCTGCGTGATATGCAAGAGGTGGACTATCGCCAGTAATACTAGGGATTGACCAAGTGTATGTGGAAGTATCGAGTATAGATAGAAGTGGAGTAGGTGTCGTGTAATTTTCTCTCCAGGATTTCCAGCCTCCGTATATAATTATCTTATCGTCTCCCGCTTTAGAAAAAACATTTATGAATATTATGACAATGAAAAACTATCAAAAAAAAAAAAAAAAAACTCACTTAGAACCGCACTATGGCCTGAACGAGATTCGACTAGTGAGCCTGACGCTTGCTGAAAAATAAAATATGAAATGTTATTGTATCCTTAGAAAAACCTAAATATAAGAAAATAAGTTACACTTTATAGTAAACTAATTTACTTTAGAAGACCACGTATTTGTATTTGTGTCATAAAGATAAATCTATGCAAATAGGCAAAATAACAAATAAATCTTTCATGCACAAATTTCAAGATGTACGCAGTGTCTCGAAAAATACCAGGTTCATGTCAATTGGTTTGGTTTCATTTTGATTTTCTACTCCACCCAAGATAACGATTATTCCATTTTTAAGTAGAGTTGCAGTATGATGACCTGAAAATAAACAAACGTTTGAATTCGTTTGAATTCGTTTGATTTACTGTAATGACAAAAGTAATGATTATTTGGAGAACCTCTTGGCTTGGGACCATCAGGCAAAATTTCATGAAAATCCCAACTTAGTAATTTGGGATTAAATAAGATAACATCATTAAATAAAGTAATATTCAGGCCCATAAAAATATCTTGGCGGCCTCCAAAAATCCACATTTGTCCTTTACTTTTAACAAATATCATTGTCGTTGCCCTTCGATTTGGAGGTGGTGTGCCTGAAAAAACAGGTGGTAATATCGATGCAGATATCGAATTAAATTTATAGAGCAAACTGGTGGTATTGTCATTTACGACATGAGTCGTTAGGTTTTCTTTTATTCCACCAAATAAAAATACAGCCCCGAAGTCGTCAACTGCTGCAGCGGCTGAAGAAATGCCATAAGGGAAGGAAGAAAGATTTGCCCACGAGGGGTTGTCCACGTAAAAGTTCACAGATAGATCCAATAAAAGTATTTGATTGATATACCTGAATATTCTGTTTGAATCAGGCACACGGCCACCAAAAAAATAAATTTTATCACCCACCAAAGCGGATGGGGAATCCACCATTGGTTCTGGAACAAAGGAAGAATTTACTAAAGCATTACATAAAAATATTAAGATTGTGAAAAGGAAGATTTTGGGATATAAATAGCTTTTAAAGAACATTTGGGTAATCGGTATCAAAATTATTATGAATTTATGATTTAATGAATTCATTTGTCAACAGAATTTATAGCGGTCTGTATTTCAAATTTCTCTTCTATTATTAACGTAAAAGGTATGCATTGTAATTTCATTTTCTATATATGGCGTGAGATTTCCTGTTCCTATTTATTTTAAGTGAATGGATATCGATATGAAAATTTACACAACATTAATATACAGTTGCACGAGGGCGTCCAAAGTTTGGAGATAATGGTTTTATATAGCTTCAAAACAATCGATCGATAGTACAATGAGGTTAGAATTTAGTAGAATTAGATAGAGTAAATACAGGAAAGATAAGATTGGGAATTGCATCTGTTTATTATTATTTTTTTTTTTTATCGATTTTTGATTTTTGATATATACTTTATTTCTTATTGGAAAAAACCCTGTAAGGTGTGATTCAAAGCAGCCGTGAAACATAACCCCAAGTATAAACAAATACATCAGTTACAGGAATTAAGTTCTGTAAAAATATGAATTATAATTATACGTTTGTTGTTGATTGGAGAAAAGTTATATTACTCTGAAAAATTCGAAAATAACTTTATTTGACTTTGAAGGTTACCAGAATTGAACGAAGCGAACAAAAAGCGCTCGACGTTTTAACTTGTCATTTAACTGAGCCTACCGAAAGAACTTAACTCTTTATCAATACGAATGATAAATATTGGGTCACAGTAATACGATTGTTAAATGTGCCCTCGGTCATCAGAAATGGCTAAATGAAGTCCCAACTCATGAAACATCAATTGCAATACGTGGTAAGTCTAACGTTAAACAACAAATCTTTTTAATAAAATTTTATTAAACATATATTAATTTGGGATAGTGTTTATTTGTTTTATATATTCTATTTGTCGAATAAATTTATCTGCTTTGCTCGATAATAATAATAGTAAAGTATGTTTAATACTGTATTTTTTTAAATATTTATTTGACTTTTAAATAAATTATTTTATTGATTTCATTATGTTTCTTTTTGAAAGCATGCTCATGTTTTATCTAAAAATGAATATTGCTATAAGAAAACTTATTTTTTACGATTAAAATTAAACAGCTTATTTAAACTCATTATTTTTAAAATACAATTGGTTCTGTTTTTTATATTAAACATAAACCGCTTTCTCTTTTGAATTAATGAACTGTTTAAAAATTCAATTGTATTCTATTATTATAGAAAATGAGCAATTAACACTAACGACTTAAAATAATGTTTTACACATTAAGTAGGTTATCGAAAAGAATAACTCCTTTATTTTCTTATTTCTATTATTTCTTTTTATTTATAACATATATAAAAAGTACATAATGAAATAATGTTAATAAAGTAAAATGAAAAAAAAGACTTCTAACGCAGACTTTTAAAATATTATACTTATTTAATTTGTATTGTTCACGAAATATATAAAACTTTACATTAACGACCTCTAAATAAATATAGATAATTGTGGCCTATTTCAATATAAATCACAACCTGATACTTCGTGAGTGGGTCTATATTATTAGTACTAAATAGTTGATGCTTATTTAGAACAATAAAATAAAGATAAATAAAATTTATATTACTATTGGTATAATAATTAAACTATCTAAAATATTATAAATATTTCAAAATAAGTTATTATTATATGTTATTTGATCAAAAATTCTTCCTTTTTGATTTAATACTAACAAAAAATAAGAGTTATTATATTAAATCTTTGTTTTCATATTTTTTGTGAAGGGTACTATTGTTATTCAAATTTTTTAAAAAATTGTTTAATTTATTGGTTTATTTGATATTATTATATTATATATTGTAGATACAATTAAAAACATATCAAATACATATTGGAAATAATATTGTATTTAGAAAATTTTATTGTTATAAGCATTTTGAATTTGCTTATATAACTATAATATATAACTAATTTATTATTGTTTTTATTCTGGAAATTAACATAGTTTTAAATCTTGTTAAGTCAATAGTTCTTAATTTCTTGTTTAAGCTAATAGTTTGATTTAATTGAGTAAAAGGATTTGGTTGATGATTGCAGGATCTTCTGGTAGTGATAATAAAGGAGCCTAGAACCATTCGTCAGTGATCTTCTGAAATTCATATACATTGTAAAGTTTTTTTATTAAGTGCTTTAGATCTTTGTCCCTTGGAATAAATTGGCCAAGGTTGAATAATGAGTCTACTTCTTGAATACTTGTTGGTAGTGTTACACTTGATCTTCGCCCAAGATCATCACTACCCCTTGCCCGATTTTTACTAGCATTTATCCTTGAAATGTTGTTCATTCTAGAATAATTCTTGTATTACTATCTTTGTTATTGTTTAGCACTGTACTTTTCGTGCTAATGT